TACTGTCGCCAGGCATCACTGAGAATAGTCTATCTCCCTCTTCTTTGCACCCTCCAGGTATTTAAAAACATTGATAAGATCAGCTCATCTTTAATCTGTTTTCTACAGCTTGCTATCTAAGAAGTAGCTAAATGGAAAATTCATCTGAGCAACTTATGGACACATCTATTTGTACAAGATTTCAGCTCTTTGAGGAGTTGGGATTTTTTTATGAAGCTGGAAAACAGATCGTGTGGGAAAACCAGAATTTTGCATGTATAGTTAGGAAGGTATGATACTCCTGGAGATACACAATCAAGAGCTGGGAGATTCTGGCATTTACTGAAACAAATAGCTATTCAGCATCTGAAATCACTCCTGAATATATTTTGATTACAGTGTGAGCTTGGTAATAAAGGATTCTCTTGAGAGAAAAAAGATTTGGAGTCAAATATTAATATCCTTTGGCTTGGAATTGAGTATCTCCCAAACTAGAGCTGTTAGGTTTCTCATTGATAAACATTTCTACTGGCTTGTGGAAAGAGTCAGAATTGGGATTGCTTTCTGCAAACAAGATGTTGAGTCCTGCTTCAGGCAGAAACAACAGTTCCCACACTGGTCAGTGATAGTCTTCCTTTTAGCCTCCAACATGACCTTTGATTTTGATCCTAGACCTTTGCATTTCACCGTTTCTTTGACTCCATTTCTTGACTCTTGTAGGAATCACTGGTGTGTGCTGTGATTTCAGATCCTGGCACTGCCTGTCAATTGAGATATTTCTAATACCAGTATCAGGTCTTCTAATGCTGGGAAAGGAACTGGTTTAGTGCACTGTGTCTGTTTTATTGCACTGGCTCATGGAGTTCAAGAGGAATTGGACTTGTAACCAAAAGACTTTTCTTCTTTTTAAGGGGGTTCTTAAACTTTATTCTGGTTTGCTGGATAGACACAGAAGATTTTCTCTCCATTTTGTGCCTTGTAACCACTGATGGGGTTTGTGGACATAGTCAATACTTGCTATACCATTGCTAATTCTGCCAGCTGCATCACAAGTGTTTTAATAACTACATGATTTTTTGTTGTTGCTCAAGCCCACTTCTAGGGCCAGTAATTTTAATGTTTTATTAAAAAATAAACACTCTTACTGAAAAAAAGCTGTAAACAAGAAGCCAGATGCCCTTGAAGTCTCAATACTCAGGCAACGCTCTCCCCCAAACTGCATGCTCTCTTGAATTTCATAAATTTTAGAACAATCTGATAATTTTTGAATCTTTGGCACTCACAAGTCTTTTAGATCTTTGCAGTTCTCAAACTGCAAAACAGTTCCCCATTCACAATATGAGTACAGTTCATAAAAAAAATCCATTAACATTAATGAGGTAGTTAAAAAAAAACACTGTAAGAAAATCTTTTAAAATTATATAGCTGTTTTTCTGCTACTAGTCACTCAGCCACTGTTCAGAGAATTTCATTAAGTTTCTTTTACAAAGCTAGAATCAGAGCATTGAAGAACAACCACAGGTGAACCTCACCCTCTATTGCTGCAATATTGTATTTAAAAGAAAAAAAGGGGGGAAAAGGAAAAGGAAAAGGTTTTCACTCTAATCAGCTTCAGCAGTTTCTCTCTCCACAAAAGTTGAGTGGTTTATCAAATGTATTGTGTAGCTTCTTCATCCATTCTAGACAAATCTGTCTTTTACTTCTTAAACATTATTGCAAAATATTATGTTAAAAATAATGTAAAAATCAGAGAGTAGCAGCAGAACCACCGTTTTGTATGGTCTAATACAAAGTATACACTCTTGATACAGTCAGCAATTAAACGGCTGTCAGATGGGCTGCAAAATTAAAGCACTTTGATCCTCTGGATCACTTGTTTGTCTATATCCGTCTCTATATGTAGCGTGGTAAAACTTATCAAGTTCATCCAGGTTACTAACAGACATAAAGTCAATCACATAGGAAAACTATGGAAGGGCTAGGGCAAAGTTCAGAGTTAACTGAAATGATTTTGCCTTTCAGAAACCAGGCATGCATATCTAATAGTAAAATTAGGATAGCCTAGCAAAATGAGATGTATATAGGAATATGTATACAGTCTCATGCTAATAATGAATTTGTCTTGTAAAGGGTAAGTATAGTTTAAAGTACTTTAAAAAATTACTAACAACCTCAGATAGAGATTGCTGTCAAATAGAATATAACTAACTGTGATTGAGATCTGAAACAGTAATTGATATAAACATTGACATTAATGCTGAGATACTTACATGGAAGAATTCAGCACCTCATAAACCTCTTTCCATGCAAAAACTGACCTTTTAAGCTAAAGACAGAGTTGCTAGTCTCTTGCATAGGAACTCAGCATGCCCATCACTGCTTTTTCCCTAGCTGCCAGAACAAATCCTTTTTCATCCTTCTTCTATATCCTTTTTAGGACAGTTACAGTTTATGATAATGATAAAACAATAACAAAATGGAATATTTCTTGCAACTTTAGTTAGGTCTTTAATCAATAAAATATACTTTTCTGAGTCTTGTCTGAATAGTTTGTGCTAGAAATTGGCTGAGATCACTGCAAATCAGTATAAAATGATGATGACCAGTTCCTTTGTAGAAAATGAAGCAATAAAGAGCTTTTGTGTTAGCTTTATGTTTTTATTGATAGATACCATACTGGAGACCACACACATTACCATTATATATGAGAAAAAAACATAGCTGTTTCAACAGACAAAAAAAGTGCAGCTGATTCATCGGCTCCTTTAAGAGGACTGGCATCTGGACCACATGCACTTCAAAGTCAAATGCTGTACTGAGATGTGCTGCTTTGAAGTACAGCTGCTGATCCAGACAAATTTTGGAGCCTAAACCAGCATATGAATCTGCTGAAAAAAAGAGAAAAGACTATTTCAGATGCCAGTTTTGACTCATTTTAGAAAATTGCTGTCTGGATCGGCTGAACTTCAAAGCAGAACATCGTGGTGCAGAATTTCCCTTTGAAGTGCAGCTAATCCAGATAGTGGGTTTTCTCTCCCCTCCGTTTTTTTTAAGTAGTTAAAATTGGCATCTGACCTTACCAGTATTTCTCCTCACCCTCTGCACATTCTTCTTCCCTTCTCCCTTATTTCTTCTTCCTTTGACCTTTCTGAAAAATACAGCAATATCCACTATCTTGTTAGCTCCTGCATTACCAAAGCTACTATAAAGAGGGTGGTTGTGGGAATAGCCTATATCAAGCCACATAATAGACAGTGACCAATTACTGCACATGGCTTATCATAAAGTTTGTTGATAAATAATGCGTAATTTTATCATCCAAGAAAAATAAAGCTCAAAATAAATCCCTTGTAACTGCTTGCATTCCAAGTATTCATAACCACATTTCCATGGTTCTGCTAACTCATATTAATGGTCATTAGCCCTGGTTTAAAAAGTATCTAAGTTTAATAGCATTTCAACTTTAGGAAATTTTTTCTATGTCCTTCACAGCCAAGTCAGGAAGGCCTTAAGAAAATGGGTTTACTGGGGAAGGGATGAGGTTACTACAGGCAGAGTTTGCATGGCTTCTGGCAAGGGGAGCCAAGGGTAAATGTGATACGCTCACCAGGACTGGACAAAAGAGGAGCTAAGACCTGGTCAGCCACAAGGACTTTCCTGCAGTGGAGCTCACCAGGTTTTAAAGCAATCTCTTCCTTACTCCAGTTGTTGCCAGTGCTACCTGGTAAAGGAGGCCAAGGGGAATGTATCTCCCTCTGGAGAAGTGTATTAAAGTCAACAAATTATTCTTCTCTTAGTAAAGGCAAATCTGGAAATCTGCTCTTCATATTGAATATAATCATGGTGTTGGCTACTCAAGTAACCACCTACTTTAGAAAAGTCTTGAACAGACTAACAGCAGGTTTTGATCTTGCTGAGAGGTACTGGATCCTGCTGACTTATTTTTGCAGATGGCTTGTTAGATCCTCACAGGAATAAACCTCTGAGGAGAAAGAAATAGGCTGAACAGTACTCAGGACAAACTCTGAGGAACAGGAACATCTGTTTTTATAAATAAAAAAACTAATCGGGGTGGGGGTGGGGGGAATGGGTAAGCTCTAGTGCTGGACAGTGTTTGTGGATTATATTTGGAAGTCTTATATTTCCTGAGTACCTTAAGTCCTGCCAAAGCAACATCACTTGGCAGACAAAACATGGGAGCAGGATCTGGAGCACATGGAGAGACCTGCTCAAGCCACATGTTCAAGTCAGGGACACGTTTTTGCCTAACAAACACCTCTGTGCTCAGATCTCTGAAATAGGCATCCTCTCCTCACCTCACAGGTCATGGGTGAAGACAGCTGATAGAAGCCCAGGAGGAAATTAATTGTTACTTCTCTCCTCCTAGCAGGGAGGGAAGGAAGTAGGATTCATGTCCTTACACAGAACAACGTAACAGGAGAAAGAAAGTAACTGCTTATTTTATGATGGCATCCAAGTGAATGAAAAACTATAATGCATTTTAACATTGTCATAATCTATAATTGCAAGAAATCCAGATGAATGTTAGATGGTCACCCTTCATTCTAACAATTCCCAACTTCTGACTGACTTTGACACTCCCAAGATCTTTTAGCAATGTACACATAAGGAATGCTCCCATTTGACACTAAGTTAAATGACAAATCATGAAGACATGCTGCATTCTGTCCAAACTACAAAGACAAAGCATGCTAGTACAGGAGGACAATTTAATGACAACATCTCTCATTTGCTGAGAAATAACTCTGCAGAGAGAAAGGACTGGACAACGACCAGCATTTTATTTACACAGGTCATGAGATATGTCACTTGGGTGATCTGTTCTTGTCAGGCAGTCCTTAATTAGAAAATTCCTCTAGAGAGCTCCTGCTTCCACTAGGTGCTTATTAAAATCTAAAGACAAAAGGAGTTACTAGAAAAGCCTGAGGAATGGACAGAGAACTCAGGTTACACTGGAAGGCAGGAGTCAGCTGCTGCTAACATAGGGAGAGACACTCAGGATGGGATGCTGGATTTTGAATGAAAAACTCTCGGTGCTGTTATTAGTGAGTATTTTTAGCATTAAAAAATATCTAATTGGATACATATGAATATTTTAAGCTTGTTTAAAAGACATTTTATGGTTTGCTTACAGTAATATTCCCAAGCTTAATGTAAAACTTGCTATAAAATATTCATCAGCCTTTTTATAACTTGTCTTATAAACAATTTAAAGTCCTACTGTTTTATTTTTAATTATTTTTAAGTCCATGTACTTTAGTCCTCAGATAAAGGGAATAGGGGTTTGCAATTGTAATTGGAATTATATTTCAGAGGTTTTGATGAACTAAGCATGGGGGACAGAGAAAGGAATTTCCTTCACTTCTAACTCCCTTCACTCCTGGAATTCTTTAATTTTAGCTTTTATAGCCTTCTTAGAGAACAGGATAAGACCTGTGTTTAAGATCAAGTTTAGCATCATACTGTAAACATCATCTATCTCCTCTACTGGGGATACGGGAATAGGATTGTAATCCTGCATTTGCTAAAAGATAGCCTCATTCCAGCAGGCATTCATGATTTCTATCATCTGTGATCAAGAACCGCACTGCATGCTGATTTTGAAGTATCTCTCAGATACTTTAAAAACTATAAACATAACCAGTTTTATATGCATTTAAAAATACTGTAAGTGTCACTAATCTGTAGCCTGTCTGCTTTGTAGCTGGTGTGGCTGGCACTGAATTTCTATTTGTTTATTGATACCTTCCACTGGTATGAAGATGAAGATGCTTACATTTATACACGGATTATGCTGGGAGTAAGTACAAGTTTGATTGTTAAAGGGCTCCACAAGAAGAATGTATGCATAGTCTGATTTTATTTACATCCTTCATAACAATATTTTCGATGCTCCAACAGTAATATTCTCATACAAGAGTATTATGTTAATATAGTATTCTCTTTCTTTTTCTCTTCCTATACCAAGCTTGTAATTTAATTTCTTTATACCGTTATATCTACAGTCAACCTTGGCTTGGGCAAGAGCTTCTGCAACGTGCCTTAATTTTAACTGCATGCTAATCCTGTTACCGGTCAGTAGAAACCTTATTTCATTCTTAAGAGGAGCAAGCATTGTAAGTATCATTTCTTAAATAGCCATATTATTCTCCCTTTTTTATTTTCATAGTTCAGCAGTATTATCCATGTCAAACATTTTCCAAGGAATTTTAATTTTTGATAGAGAAGTCTATACACTATTGCTTAGTTATTACCGTTTAAATTCATGAGAATTCAAGAGAAACAAATGGCTTGTTTAACACAGTGCTCTACATGGAATACTGATTTTGGCAGTGACTGCATAGCATGGAGTCATGAAGAGAAAAGTGAGGAGCTACAAAAAAGGGAATGTAATAATGCAACTTGGTCAAATGGAGAAAATACGTATCCATCGTGTGTATCCTGTGTAGCTACAAAGTAAAAACTGGAGAGGGAAAATGTACAGATAGATAAAAGTCAGGGCATAAGGATAATAATGAACATATTTAAACCCTTTTGTCTGAGTGGCCACCATTCAGATCTTACTTTCTTGTAAGCACATGTTTATTGTAATAGAGTGGTCATCTGCTCAGATGCAGTGAATTCACTCATGGTGAGTTCCTATAGTCAGGGCAATTCCAATACCACACATTTGGATAAAAAAATCACTGATCAATCTGTGATTCCAAGAACAACAGGAATTTAGAAATAGTAACATTATTGTATTGTAAGCTGGTTCTTAGTTCTACTTTTTTTTTTTTTTAAATTTATTTTCTTTTCCCCCTTCAGAGTTAGAATTACATTTCAAGCAGTCTTTAGGCTGGGAATCAACACTGTTTTATTATTGTCAGAGACCAGGAGCTGAGCATTCAAGGAAACAAATTCTGGTTGGACCTCTAAATCAGTTTGTGAATTAACATTAAATATATGCATGCCCAGTTACATGATGAGTAAGAACTCAGAGAACTGGAACTCTTCTCATAGATAATCAATATTTTGCTCTCTGAACAATATTCTGCTTCAAGGAGCATGGTACAGAACAACTTGACTGGCTCCAGCATGGCCACCACAGGGCTGCATCCAGTGACTCTCCAATGAGGTGCTGTGCTCTTGGCATTGCACCCAGCAGTGCTCCAGATATTTGGAAGATTTATTAGCTGGGAAACAACGTGGATACATGCCAGGATCTTTGGCATGGCACTGTGCCAGGTCAAGAGAGCAATCCAGACACCCACAGCACCATTCAGAGACTGAATTAGGTCCATGAGGGCTGTCTAGGTTCCAGCAGAGCGTGTTCGTTTTGGCTCACCGCAGCCTGCCCCAGTCCCAGGCCAGCTCTTTGCAGAGGCACCCAGCTGGCCATGAGCACACCACCGTAAGCACTTCCAATAACGGGAAGACAGCTCAGTAACGCATAAGGCACCTGAGGTCTAGACAGCCTCACCCTCCTGGGGTGTGCATTTCATGAAAGCAATGAAAATGTTTTCATTACAAGCTGGCTTTGCCAGCAGTTCAGCTGGGTTTGTGCAGCTGAACCTGAGCTTGAAAAGCACTGGTAGCCCAGAATGGTATCCTTATACCAGCCAATGAGTTAATCACCAGCCCAGAAAAACCACTCGTAAATCACAGTTAAATGTAGCAGAGTTTAATCAAGCCTGCTATTGAGCCCCTACATTGGCTGAATAGCTTAAGAAATCCTGGAGCTTAAGAAATCCTATTCTGAATATAGTTACCTGAACCCCAAAGTTAAGGCTAACCCAAAACTTCCACTGAATTCCTTTAACATTCCATTTTTAAAAGTGCTAAACTCCTCTCTTCTCTCCAAAATGTGAGTTGTAAAGAGTAATAGGAATGAAATAAACAAGTTCTGCTTTTTCACCAAGTGCTGTGGAGGAGCTTTGAGGAGACAGCTTGACAAAAACATCGCATTTCACAAGATGGTTGCCTATGGAATAGCTATAAATGCAAGTAAGCTTTTTCTTCTTTTCTTCTTTGCCTTCGAACTGTTTTGAATTTCACAGTGATTCTGCCTAATGCTGTAATCCCTATCAGCTCTGAGACATGCTATTTTAGTGCAATCATTTGGTGACTGAAGCTTTAAACAGGTGTAGGATTCCCCTCTGATTAACTATTTGCAACCCTTTTTGTTTGAGAAAAGTTTGACTGTTAAGTCAATAAACTTCCAACCTGGATAGTAACTACTAGTTGCCATTTAGTTATTGTGACCAGCTTGTGTGCTTTTAACATTTAATGTAAATAACTTCCATTAAATTCCTTAGAGTAGATGTTGGGGAGATGACATGGCATTACAGTCTGATTTCCTAAGGAAATGGTGCTTATGAGTAAAACCACTCATCTATGCACCACTACCTCTTCTTCAATAATTTTTCAACCAGGTAATAAATTTAATCTGAATTTGTGACAGGCAGCTGCCTCAAAAACATTAGGTTTGTAAATTAATTTTTTTTTTTTTTTAATAGGTGTTGGGTACAGGGTACTAGTGGCACCCTTGAGGGAAAAACTGGATCTTGAAATCAAAAGTTATCTGTTCTGCTGGTGCTAGTGACTTACTGAGCTGTAGGTTGAGCCTGGCTGGGAAGAAGACATGGCACCTTCCTGTTCTCCAAGTGATTAAAGGACCTAGAGAAGACTGAAGCTTGTAGGAATTAATAGAACATGAAGGCAACAGGAGATAGTATGGGGAAGAGTGATGTGCAGAGAAGGAAGAACAAAAGGCAACATGAGGAAGGACATAAGCACATAGAGATGGAGAGGTATCTGGGGCACATATATTTCTTAGAAAATGTGAAGGAGACACAGGGTTATTTGCAAGCATAAGACATTGCAGGGTAACAGTTCTACCCCCAGGCTGTCAGAGTGGATCCTGGACCCAACATTTTTTTCAGTCTACACGGGGGAGCTGCTTTTGTGTGTATACACTTTTAATGTTCCCATGCAATAAGACAAGAATACGAAGTCAGGATTGCCATCAGGAATCAATAGCTGAAATTTTTCCTTTGTATGGAGTGCTAAAGAATTCAGAGGGGAAGGCTAGGGATGCAAATGTGCCTTTTATAGGGCATTATGATGATTTACTTATGTGTCATGTCCATTCATTTATCAGAGTTCAGTTTCAGCATAAAGCAGATTCCTACAAAATGCAACATTGCTTCTTTAATTAACAAATCAACCCAGGAATGTAAATTAACTAACTTCTACTTGATGGATAATTTGTCATGCTCCAGAGAGAAAGTAAAACTGCATGGTCAAACCTTTAATGTTTTTGGTTTTTACATTCATATAAAAATGTTTGCTAATGCATTAAGGTGGACATTCCGGGAAGTGCAAGAAAAGTGATTACTCTATGGCTTCAGTAATTCCAAGGGAAAAGACACAGGAGCTGATGTGAAATGACAGAAAGCACCATTATTTAATTCTGCCACTCTTTAGGGAGAAAATGAGGGTTCATTGTTGGGTTATTATTTGGGTTGGGTGTTTTTTCCAGAATATAAAATGGACAAATAGTTGATGAGATATTTGAGGAAGAAAACCAAATACAGGGAGGTCTAATGAGCAAAACTTATGAACTCATGCTTCCCTAACAGACAAGCAAGGAACAACTATCATGTTTGGGAAAACACTGCATTACTGTATTGTCAGACCTGGGGAAACAATAGACAGCAACACAGTTGCTTGAAATTAAGTTTCAAATTAATTAAAAAGAAATAAAAATATCTACAGTACATATTGTGACAGATGAGCAACATTTCAGAATAAAGAGGTACCCGCAAGTATACTGAGTCCTTTTTAATAAAATTTAAGAGTTGAAATGGTGTGTAAATGTGCCATTTTCCTCTCAACTGACACGTTATTTATCCAAGTACTACCTGTATTGCCTTTGTTACACAAAACCATAGTCAACTCCTATTAGTCTATTGCAATTTAGTAATTCTTAGTTAAATGAATGTTCTTCCCTGCATGATCGATAGCCTAAATGTGGTGGCAAGAATTTAAACCAATTTGAAGATCAGATCAGTAAGCTTAGCCTTACAATATAAAATTGCAGTTGTCTTTATTATTAAAGTAACATGTATTCATCTCAGCATGCCAGGTGGTGTTATTCCAGTATATTTATTTAAGAGCATGCTAAAAATAGTCAGTACAACATTCGTATTGTCTGGCTTCTAACAGGCAGCCAGCTCAGCTGAGGTGCGCATGGCCTTGGAAGAAGTACATCTGTACCTTTAATTTTTCATCAGCTCTAATACAAATTCAAGAGCAGGTTTTAATTGGTCAGGTCATAAAGGGATATAATTAGAGACTAGTGGAAGAGGGAAGTTGGAGGAAAGAGAGAGAGTAAACAATGCTATCTATAATCAAGGGCATCATTGAAAATTCAGTAAAGGGAATTCTGCTTAGTTTGGCTTCCTGCATTCTGCATGCCTGTCTGTGATAAGAGCTGTCTGGGAGTTATTCACCCACTAATAAATCTTCCTTATAGACCCGTAACTCTGCTAGAATAAACTCATAGTTTCATGCACTCTCAGTTTGATCAGTGCAAATCATTCTATGCTTTCTAATGCAAAAGAGTCTTTTCAGTTGAGATACAGTTGTCTGGAGCCTAAAGATACATACAAGAGATAGTAAATAACATTTTGTACAACTCCTCCCTCTTAATGTGTTGTTTTTACTCTCTTAAGAAAGTACATTCATACATTTTCTGATGTGGGAAGTATTGGGGGAGTTATTTTACTTTGACATAAGGTGTGTATTTTGAAGAACAAACTGCTTCTTGTGTTGTTTTGATGTTTGCAGAAAGATTATATAGATATATTCCTCCAAAATCTTTTGAACTATGATATGAATAAAGCTTAAGCAATTAAGGAAAATTAGGGGAAGGACAGCAAGGTTCTTTGTAGTTAGGCTGTTCAAAATGGTGGTTGCTGCTCCTTAAAAATTCCAGCACTGCAGTTTTCTCTAGAAACATGAAAAATGCAGACTGAAATACAGCAATTTTCGGGTATGTTTGGCTTCTGACAAGCACTGAAAAATCTATAGCTAAAAATACCAGAAAACCTTTCCATTTTCAACCACGTTTTGGTTGTGGTGGCTGTGTAAAAGGCTTTGGTGATCTGAGTCAAAATTTTGCATAAGTAAGTGATGAAGTTTTCAGGGAAGCAGATGCTTATCTTCAAAAGAGGTTGAGCTGATATCTCAGTGTTGTACTTCCAGAAATTACAGAAAATCCAATTTCCATTAAACTGCTTTTTTTTTTAGTGAAACTGCTTAAATCCAGACTTAGTGCAAGTACTAGGAAGGAAACTACATTAAATTAAAGATTATAAGCTTCCAGCTAGGATTAAAAATGGTCCAAGTCATGTTTTCTTTGATGTTTATGACCATTCTAAAAAAAAGAAAAAAATAATCCAATGCAAGTATGTGTGTGGTCAATATAGTTATAATTTTTACAGAACCTGTACCTTTTTAGTCCACAAAGACAGCATGAAGCTGAATGAAGGTTTCTGTGTAACTAGAAAAGGCACAAGGCAGTGTGAGGCTAAAGAATCCAGGCTTGGCTGGGGGCAGAATTCCCCATGCCTGGGTTAGATGCTTGCAAAGATACTCTCTTCACTGTGGGCAGAAAAGCTAGGTTTTGACCCTTTGATTTTATCATGATGGGTTGGTTAACCAAAACATTTAACTGCTGGCAGCTAGCTCTAATCTGATTATTACCCTGTACAGGCAGAAAAAGAGAGAGTGAAATCTTGTTCTCAGATAAACACATGCAATTTCTGTTTAGTTCAATGAGAGTTGTGCATGCTTCACTGAAAGCACAATTGGCTGAATAAGACTAGCTAAATTGACCAGACTTTCAAGATAATTTAATTACATCTCTTTGTATTTAAGAATATGTACAGTAAACACCCTGCTCTAATAACAACCCTTTTGCTCCCTCCCTCCTTCCAATAAAACCTTTTATTTGATCTCAGAGGTGGATTAGATATAAGATCTTGAGGTCAAATACAAATTAATGTATGTTAAGTGCTTCAGAGGTTCCAGATGTTGCTAAAAACAACAGTGAAAATCCTTCAGTCTTCATGTACAGTTATAAAAAAACCCCTTTGTTTAGAAGATTGCATGATTTATTCTGTACTTTATATTTTGTTATGCAGAATGAGGAAAAAATTGAACTGAAAATCCTAAGATGTAAGACAACTTCGGCCTCATGGTTAACTTACCTAAATGGTGCAGGGAAAAAACCTCACAACTGTTCTAAGCTCAGATTTCAGAAATTTGCATATTAATTTTGGAATTGCTTAGTAAATTCTATACACTGCAGATGCAAAGACCTTCAGAAAATGCACTTTAGGGATGTAAAATATTTCAGCTAATGGCAATGTATCCAGTGCCAGACTTTTTAGTCTGCCACAACTATTGTACATTAAATGAACCACACTGAAAATGGAATTAGATCTTTGCATTACTCTTACCATCCAGCTATAATTCACTTCTAGATTGCATTGTTTTTTTCCTAGCAGCACACAAAAGCCATCAGAGGTATTAATCTAATAACACTCTAGGCAACATTTAAGATGATGGGACACTCAGGTAAACCAACATATTCAGTACATCATTAGTTTGAATGTTCGTATTTTCAGTGTATCATTATACTCTGTACATTAACAGCTACCACAGAAAAGCTTGTAGAAAAAAAAAACAAACCAAAACTCTCCTGTTCATTCTGGAAGTCTTCTATGCTTTCAATATCCTCTACCCATTAGCTGAACCCTGGAGGGAATGTCACCCAGAAGGGAAGATGTGGTAAATCTCAGAGAAGTAGGTATGATGATATTTCCATTGGCGTAACACAGTAAAGCAGAACAATATACAGATAGACAAAATGGTGTCCTTTAAAAGCCTGCAGAAAAATCTGACTAGGTAAAGTTGCAGAAAGTGGATCTTTTAGGGAAAGCTTGCAACATGACTACGCTTCATTAAATCTTTGGCTCAAGACCTTGGGAAGATATGTCTATTCAACCCAATTTTTTTCCGTTCAAGACTAGAAATACTCTGTTAGCAAATGTGGACCTCTGTCTGTCTGAAAGAAACTACCACCTCATTTCACTCTCAACGCCTGGCATACACCAGATAGCACCAGGTTTCCTATTGCTGCTGACATTACTAGAAGTCGTACAAATCATGTATAACCCTCCACTTTGAGGAAAGTGCGAGATTTCATAACCTCCTAAACAAAGGAAATGCCATCATTTCATGCAAAGACTTCGCAGTCTACAGCATTACTTTTTAAAAAATCTATGTGTTTTGGAGGTGAAAGAGAGAAAGAGTGTTATGCTATGAACAAAGATTCAAACCTCCATCGCTACTCAGTTACTATTCTAAATGAGCAAGGATAGAGGAAAATCTTCAGTTTATATGCTGCAGGGAACCCTTGGTAAAACACCACTAAGGATTATAACTGTGCGAAACTCAGATGGTCCCAAGGCTATGGTGACTATTACATCATACCAGAGTTATAAAGAGCATCCTGCAGATGCAGAGGACAAGAGGCCCAAGCACCATGTAATCACTAGCAAATGCCAAGATATAATGCTCAGTAGATGTCCGCTCAGAGATTCACCATCAGGGCTTTCCATCCTTTTAAAGATTTCTCTCCCCTTTCCCATAGTCCAGTACCACACTATACACAGCATGTAACTCCACAACCTACCGCAGACTGCGATCTGTTACCCCACACTCCTGTCCTCCAAGTTCACTTTGAGATGTCAGAGAAATCAGGTCCTTGTCAAGCAATGACTTGGTTCCCTTCCAGCTGGATCTGATAACATCCTTACCAGGCCAAAACATCTGTTCTGAAAGGAGTCTCTTGTAGGAACAGTTCCCCCCCTTCTCACTCAGCACTTAAAAGTGCTGTAACACTTAAATACATAAACAGTGTTTATATACTGCTTATACATCAGTTGTATGCTGGGGAACAGATTGCCACAGCCCCCACACAGCTGTCACCTAAACCCTGCAGCTCAGAACCTCTCAGGCTTTTAGGTTTTGACAGTCTGAATCCACACATTTCACTTTCTGCTTGTGGTCTAGTGTAACCTTCCTTGCAGCATTCCAGTATTGCAGAGGTGCTGGGAGCACCCTCTCACATACAGGCTTCTGGGAGCATTTCCTGCCTGATGCTGGCTGGGTTGTTTTACATGCAACACCTAATCCATAACAACGTAAGCAGGACATGCCGGGTCACTGAGTCCAATACCTTCTAATGCTCACAGTCACGTCATATATGCTGTTTCATAAAATGACCAACCTTCAGCTGAAAGCTGCTTAGATTGCTTGATCCCATTATCCCGTTTATTGAAAGGTTATTTTAGAGTCTCATTCCTTTGATGGCTTGAATCTGTCTTCTAATTTCCAGGCTCATTTTATCTCTGTGCAGTTCATACCCATTTGGATTCAGTCTCCATTCTGCTGAAGCTATTCCAGCTTGTATAAATAATTTATTATTCATTGGGCCAAAGATTTAGAAAAAATGGGAACTTGGTTTTGCAGTTTGGGTGCTCAGAGCATTCCCTTGGGGTGCTTGTGTCAATAAATGTTTGATTATTTTTATTAAGTGTTTCATCAGGAGACAGCTCACAAGCAAATAAAGAGTCAGCTCAGTGACCAGGACATGTGATTCAGTTTAAAGCCCTGCTTCAAATTTAATGTAACAAGGATTTTCAAATAGGTCTTTCATCTCCAAGTGAGTACCTCAGCATGGGGCATTGAGGAGAAGCAGGTGTTAGGGAGTGGCAGGGGGGAAGTCACTAAGGTAACATAACATTTTGAATGAAGTGCAACCTGACAGTCAACCAGCCCCAGCACATCTACTGCTCTAGAAGGATCACCTCAGAAGAATAGAGTGAAAATGACATCGCTTCAGCCTGGACACATGGGCTAACCTACTGCTGGGGAAGAGAGCAGTCTTCTACCTTTTTGCACTGGCTGCTTTAAGAATGTCCATGGCCAGCAGCCTACCTCAACTCATATTGCCATGCCTACAGCTCTCCCCAGGTGCTGCAGAGGAGCTGGACTCAAGCATCAGAGTGAGGGAGATCACTAAGTGGATACGCATCTGAAACACTTAACAATACCAAAGTACTGATGCATTTAATCCTGTGGTTTCATCTGTGATTACACAGTAAGATATTACTTTTGTGCAAACAGCTACAATTAAAAAAAATGAAAAGAAAAAAAAGAGGAAGGAAAAGAGAAGAAGAAAGAAGGAATAAGAAAGAGACAAGAGAGAAAAGAGAAGAAGAAGCAAAAGAAAAAGAAAAAGGAAAAATGAAAAAAAGTAGAAATAGAAAAAGAAAAAATGAGAAATAAAAAATAGAAAAAAGGAGAAATAAAAAGAGAGAAACAAAAAAAAGAAAAAAGAATCTTATTTTGAGAGAATATTGCTCAGGGAAAAGGTCATATTTGGTTTACTACAAATACTGCCTTTTAGAAAGGTTTTTTAAGTGGTCAGGGGCAGGAACAGATAAACACTGAAGGAGAGATGGTAACGGGAAGCTAATTATAAAAACTAGAGATAGCATATCCTAATAGCTCTACTGTAAACATATAATTGTTTCTATTGTCATTTTTTCCATTCTTCGGCATTTAATATTTTGCACTAATTACAACTTTACTGTAATGGATTTGAGAATCTCTCATCCTGAAAACTGAAACTCTGCATGATTGCAACTTTACCTGTTAGCCAATTACAAAACGAAATTCTTCCTCTTTTCTTCTTCTGAAATTATCACCTTTCCACTGAGGAAAAGAATTACAGGGGTTCTCACTTCACTCTAAGGTATTTTTCTAAACTGACCATTTCATATACCTTTTGGGAGCAGGCCAAAGTGACACATGAGAGTCAGAGCAAGTCAGATCTAACATTGTGATTCAGACTTCTCCCTTAAAACCACAGTTCTGGTGGCTTCCCCAGGCTCCACCTGTGTAAAGTAATGCTATAGCTATTTGTTAATAGGGGACAGATATTGGACACATCTCTTAAATATCCCTGGTGCAAGTTGCAAACTGGTCTATGCCTAAAAGAGACAAATTAGTGACCTGCACAGCAATATTAGACTGTGGCACATCCTAATATATTAATAAAAAAAAAAATCCCAGGGATTTTAATCAGTTTACCTCATTTTGAACGATTTAAATACCTTTATCTCATCTCTCAAGAAGTTCTCCTTTGGTGACACCAAAGACTGTGAGGGCAGTAGATTGTAATCATGGGAGGTGACCCCAGAGCTGTTTGTCTCCTCTACAGTGTGAAGCAGCTGCTTCATATTAGGCATGTATTTCATAAAATTTTCCTTCTCTTGTCACCTTAACCACACAAAGTCCTCAGTGAATGCCCAAGATTTTCAGATAGTTTGTAATGTGCTTAATGAAGTTCCTTCTAGCACTGTGGACACGTACCAGTGTCTGTAGTTTCACACAAGTGTGTCTGTAGTTTCACACCACTCTTTCTGTCATGCAGCCATCCATATTGTTGCCCACTTGATCAACATTGAGCGGTATCATACCAGCCAGTCTAAGGAAGCTGGAGAGTTACGGAATAAACTTTCTGGCCTTGGCAAGAGTCCAAATGAAAGCTATTTGAACCCAATCAGGACCTATGAAACAGTAAGCTGTCACTTTTTGGTTTTCCTCATCTAAAAAGTTTTCCTCTGTGGATTCTATTGTCGGTAAAACTGTATTTCAAAGCCTTTTAACCAGAGCGAGAAGGTGCTGCCAAAGGTTAACCTCAATTTCAGCTGAAAACACTTACTGAGAGCTGCAATTTTCAGGTTACTAAGCTCAAAGAAATGTCTACAGTATTTTAATTAGTTTGTCAGGAGACAGCTGGTGGGGGAAGGATAAGGAGTGGTGTGAATAGCAGACAAAGAAATAAACCTTCAAAGAATTAAAAAAAAACCCCAAAAACAAAAACCTAAACTATTGATACATAGAACAAACACAATTTCTTTCTAGAAAGAAAACAAAAACAAAAACAAACCCCAAACAAGACAGAAATAGCACTTAATATTTCTTTCACAGCTGCTATTTGTCTCTCCCCATGGTTATGCAGTATTTTCCCAACCTGGGGGTTCATTCTGCCTTGTTACATGTTGAATGTGGTGGCCCAGGGACGAGGACATGCAAAAATACCTGGGGGCTTGCTGTGTATAGGAAGTAGTGCATGGGGAAACTGTGTACTCTTCAGAGTTAGGCAGGACTGTGGGCACCTCAGCCGTGCAAATAAATGGTTCTACTTACTTTAAGGAAAAAAGTGACTGTGCCCCCTGTCCACCTCCTTGGCTGTCTCACAACAGCATTATAAGCTCATCCTTATAATACTCATAACATGAAGAAAACCAGCCCCTTTCTGCAAGGTGTGCATGTTAAACATGCAAAAGCTAATCAGTTTTTTTCCTTTTTCCATTACTCTATACACTACACTTACATGCTTGCTTGTGTATAATGTCATGTATTATACATATTCCAGGGTTGAAATGGCCCTGGTGAGACATCCACACATATTGTTTCTGCTCTTTAGAAAATTTCCACATAGTCAGCATGCAATAAAGATTGCTTGAACACCATGGAGTAAGGCTCAGTAGTGTGCTCAACTGAAACAAGAAACAAAGTGAGACAATGGTTGGACAACCATGAGTAGGATTTAATGGTACTTTTCAGACACAAGGCATGTTGTTCCGTTTTTTCTCAGTTCCTTTCTAGTTTAGACAGTGTGATTTTTACATCTTTCGAAATAAAAAAGTAAACAATTCTCAAGTTTGAAAAAATCAAGCAAATAAATGGTCTCAGAGGTATGAACACAAAAGTCTTCATATTAGTGTTGACAAAGTAGTCAGGTTTAACAGAACAGGACAGTGAGCCAAGGATGCAGCTGCACAGTCATTCAGAACAGAGTGCCCACTCCCACTACACATGAGATATTCCCCAGGAACAGAACAAAAATCACAGCTTTGAACATGAATCTACTATTTCTCAGTATGAATTTTTTTCTTCACTAAGCCTTCACTAAGGTGATACAATTGTGAGGTATGCCTCTAATTAGCATTAAGATCCTAAATACCCTTGAGGAAGAAGGCTAGCATTTTTTGAGATCCTTTCCTAGATTTCTTAGAGTGATATGCCCCACAATTGCCTTCTAATTTACAGTCTAGATTTTACTCTAACTTCTAATATTTGTATTTCTTTTATCACCCACTTGTGCCTCAGTAGCTACATTCAGAATTAATAAATTATGAAGGAAAGCAAATAAAAGATTGTTTCTAACTTTAGAGAAGAAAGTTCTGAGAGTAACAATTCAGGCTTTCTTTTCAGCTTCATCCCACCCCTGTAGTAGCAATGTGCTAAGTGCCTTTGACATTTTTCCTTGTTTCATCTCAGCATTCAAACTAGCCACTGTAGTGGAAATGTTCAAAATATTACCTAGATCAATGCTGCTAATATGTAATAGGATCTGAACACACTCTTCACAGGCATCAATTTGAAAATGTACTGTGTGCTGTCAAGTGTGAACATTTGAAAGAATGATTTTACTGTAAAAACTGACTGTAAAAATGGCATTGTGGTATTTTATCACCTCTAGGATTTCCATATCAAATGAGTGCACTTTACAAGTACAATATAGGGGCTTTTTTACTCCTAGTGTATTAAGCTGTAGAACCAACTCAGGATCCAGAAGGCATGCTGAGTTCCTTCATTCTTGCGCATCAGCACCAAGAAAACTGATATATATGCTTTGCAGGCCAAATGGGGACTTCGTTTACATTCTGCTGGCATATTTAGCTTGAGTCTCGTCTTGTATGTGGGATTTTTACTGCTGTTCTTCATGATTTGCACATTATAACTGAGATCAGCATCTGACTGTTGTATTCAAAATACATCTTCATTCTCACTTCAGTTTATTTTGGTGGGTTTAGACAGATGTAACAAACCTGTGCTGGTGCCTGTGATTCATGAACAAGAAGGAACATGTTCTAGCCCAGCATATTGATGTTTCATCACTGACAAGCGTAGAAATGTAAATTTAAATATGTCTTTTAAAAAATAAACTCAAGTATTATCCAACGTATCTCCAGATAAATGTAAGAAACAAGTAAACAAGGTATACTGTTAGGTAAATGAGAGCATGCCATTTTTATACACCATTTCAGGGCTGCTAAAAACCCATAAACTTTGAAATAAATTAACGACAAAAGAGCTCCACACCTTTATGGTTGCAGGTGTCTTAGCACCTCACTTTATCACCTTAACATGAATAAGCTGGTTTCTAGTACTGTTTTACTTATTTTATCTCTAGGATTAATCTAATTTCTCTAATAATTTCCCTTTTTTTCTGAGACAATTTTACATAAGTAAAATAAAAGTACTATGCCACTGGAACAGGTTGTCAAAGTAAGTGGTAAATGCCCCATCCCTGGCAGTGTTCAAGGCCAGGTTGGACAGAGCCTTGGGCGACATGGTCTAGTGGTGAGGCATCCCTGCCCATGGCAGGGGGTTGGGAACCAGATGATCCTAAGGTCTTTTCCAACCCAAGCTATTCTGCGATTCTATGATTCTACTAATGAGACTGTTTGATCTCCTTTCAATTCCTGAAACAAGTAAGTGACAGCAAACATTTACACATCTGTCTGTGGTAAAGTGGAGGTTTGTCTTGCCTTCATGTCTTGTTCTGGTTTTCTTCATTTGCTGAAAATATAGCTTAGATTTTGGCTTTGTATGTAATAGCAGCAACAGTACCAATAGTAAGAGTAACAGAAGTAGTAACAAAAATAATAACAATAACTACTAATGCTAATATTGTATTCTTATTCTAGAACACAACAGGAGAGGTATTAACCACCATAGCTGGAATAACTGGAGTTGTGATAACTGTGGCTTTAATTCTGATGATGACTTCATCCACTGAGCTCATCAGAAGGTCATGCTATGAGGTGTTCTGGTATACCCATCACCTTTTTGTGGTTTTCTTCATTGGTTTACTCATCCATGGTATGGGGTAAGTGTCTGAATAAACTACATGGTGTATATGTACACAGTAAAAGATGAAACACAATTCAAATCTCTAATCCTGTGCTTTTCTACTAACAAACTGCTGGGATCTTTGCTCGGAGACAGATTGCAGATTGATATCGCCCACCACTAAAAGTACATACAGACCACTGTTCTCTGACACAGAGGAACTTCCTAGTACTGTGTGCATGTGCCTGTTCTCTCGAGGTACATGATGTCTCCATGGAGCAGGGAACAGGCAGTACAATGTTTTGTGGTGTGTTACTTTTCTCACCTCTTTCCTTGCAATTTGAGAGCTGCCACATTCAGTTTGGCATTGAATGTTCCTGAAATTGACCCAATTAATTAGTCCCAAGTTTCAGAGGCACAGCTGCAAACAAATGCTGTAAACTGTATCCTGGCCTGATTAAAATGGCTCCCCTCCCATCGCTCCAGCAAATCTTTTAGAATCCAATTTCGATCAGCTATAATGAACCCTGTAAGCCTTCAGCTTTGCAAGTACCCTCTGCCTAGCCAGCTGATGGACGCTGCTCAGCAAGAGACTTCCCTGAAAAAAGGACACTTCTTTAACAGCTCAATAGCATTCAATGAGCACACTGCTTACTCCAGGTTGAGAGTGCACTGCAATAGAGCAGGTCCCTGCTGCCCCCGCACATCCCTCCCACTACCCCATTTATGAAAAGAAGTCAAAACACAAGGTTTCATCCACTTCGCATCTCTTTCTCCTTCCCATGTGACTGAACAAAACTCACTCAAGCCTACCTCCTTTTCTTTCTGTTTGAACTTGTGGCATCTGGTAACACTGCCATGTAAAAGAAGGCAGCTCTTCTTAACTCTTTGTCTCTTGTTAGACTTGTGGGCAAGAGTGGCTAATGTTGTAGAGCCAAAGTATGTATGGAAGGGAAAATTCAGAGAAACAACATGAAACAAACAGGGTTTCCCCATAAAAATCTTCCTTCTCTACCTATAATCAACACCAGCTGAAAACCATTTAAACTGAGCAGTCAGGATTGATATGTTTGGGAGAATTCACATCATTAACATTCTCAGAAGTAAAAAAGCTAGTATTTAATATGTTTAGAGAGTACACATCTAATTACAGTCCTCCACCTTTATTTGCAGCTTTTAAAAATGCATTTTGAAAGCAGCAAAGGAAAGAGAAGGTCTGTCACTATTAAATTTTATTATTTTTCTAAGCAATACCAGATGCTCATATAGAGAGGAAGTCAAAGTGTCTGTTCTAAAAAACTTGGAAATCATTCTAATTTTGCCACAAACAGCAAAATGTACATTTTCTATGCAAGCATTCTACACACTTCAGCTGCATTGATATATACCAATACTATAACACACTTCTTGCATTTGGTCAAAAAGTTGTGGCAAAGCTAAAGGAAAGGCAATTGGAACAACAGAGAAGAGCAGGGTTGAAATGTCTAGTTCTTGAACTGGAAGTTATCTCCAAATCTGCATTTGACTAGTAGTTCAAAATCCACAGATGCACAGAAACCTTGCAAAGAAGCGTATCACTGATGGACATTTTTTTTTTAAGTCAACTTGTTCGAGGTCAGACACCTCAGAGTCTGCTGCTCCACAATGTCACTTACTGTAAAGATCACTACCTGGAATGGGAGAACGCCACCCAGTGCCCTCTGCCGCAGTTTTCTGGCAACAAACCCGTGGTAAGAGTGATGTTTGCCTTCTGGTTTTAACTTACTGTCCTTCCTTGGAAGGCTGAATGTCTTGGGGAGCAGGGAGCTGAAGTGTATGCTAGTGATTGACGCTTAGTGTCATGTTTAGAGAGTAGTTGCACGCTTCTGTTCTATGACTTCTCCCTATGCATTAAAACAGTGATCCTGACCTCCTTTATAATTAGTATAGACAGGTACGGATGAAGAGTGATGTACAAAATTTTCATGTCATTCATAATAATTTTTATTTCTGGAAGATCCTAATGTTAGACACCGCTCCCTTTGAAGGGTATGGATTTCAGAATTATATTCTATTTAAACCTGTTCTGTACGTTTATATTTTAGTTATTCAGTATCAACAATACCCTTGATGTGCTCACTGCACAAACATAGGCTCCAAGTGAAAACCTTATGAGGGTAGAGATGCAGAAAATACATTCGAACAGTAAAGCTAGGAATGCAAGTTAATATTATTATTTTAACTAACTGTACTTTAATATGGATAGTCTAAATACCATGGGAGAATAAGTCAGAGCTAAAATTATGTCCTTGCTTTGGGGCACATGCTTCATATCGTCCAGCCTTGATGTCTTAAGTTAGGTAAAAAGGAGAGAATTTGAAACAATGAATTATGAAAGGGAAAGGCAGGAAAAATGTCCCACGGAAGGGTGGTTTTCCTGCAACAAGATTGCAAATCCACAGGGGGTAATTAAGTAGCAGACTTGTACAGTATGTCAGATGTCTAGCATCCAAACACAATCATTTAACATTTACAGCTCAAGATTTAGCTTGCTCATATGCAAGTTTTTGTTGTTTCTTCCAAAAAGAAAAAACATACCAAAGGAAATCCTGAAGTAAAGGAGAAAAATTAGCATTCAGTGTCTTGTAGCTCTTTTAATGGCTGACATAGATTTTTCTTAAACTAAACTATTGTTAGCCACTATCCAACCTGCATATTAATGAGAAAATGAATGACTCTCTAAAAATTTCAGCTACAATGTCACCATAAAAATCAATACATAGCTATGCACCGTGAATACAGACACAAGCTTGCTTCCAACAGCATGTCTTGACATTCATTATCATAAAGCTAACTGGAAAGAACTTCCACTTTGCTGTGTTAAACCTATTCTGCCACACTTTCCTGCATACCCAAGGCCATATCTGCAAAGTCACATTATTCTAAATGAATTATGATAATACCATACGGCATATAGATCATCTGTAAGAACAGTGCTTTGCTGGATGGGTAATGTGCTATGGTGTGATACCTGCTAGGCACCGCAGATAGAGAGCACAAATTCATTCATAGGCTAAAAAGCCATGGCGAAGCTTGTGCAGCATAAGCATGTGCAGGTGCAGATGGGACTGAGAAGGGAGGGGACAGCCTTGCGCGTAGCTGGAATTGCATGAGGTGACACTGACAAGTGCACATCCTGCTGGTCATGGCTCCCAAGGGATGCTACCATGGCAGAGACCCTCTCTCAGTCATGTCACGTATGATCCCTTGCTCCGTATTTTGTCCTGATCTGGATCCCACTTGAGGACAATGAAGCACTTCTGTCACACCCAGGGTGCCTGGACTTTTATCCTCACAGCCTCTCCTGAGCCATCACTGCACCATCCCAGTTCATTCTCACTACAGGAAGAAACACTACTTCGCCACATGGGCAAGAATACCGATGCCTTGATTAGCCAGCCAGGAGCTGTGTTTCCTAGCAGCCCATCATTCCTGGTGGTTGCCCTGTTGTCCCAAGACAGTCAAAAGATATTTTGGATTGAATGCTCTGTTACACTGGAGAAGAGGCACATTTGCAATCTCAGCTGAGCTCTCACAGAGGGTAGCCTCCGACCTTAACATTCCTGTCACATGCTTTTGTTTACAGGTAGCACAAATGGAAAGGAGGAAAAACAGGTCTCATCATTATTGTGGCTTGATATATGCAAATATATTCAAGACATGAGATTACCCACTGTGCAGAGACACCTGTAGTATTTAGGGACAACGGATGTGTTGAGATTCTGCTTTAACTGAGAATCTTCTGGCTTATGCTGGTTGCTTCCATTATTAAATCATACATTTTTTTATTCAATTTTCAAGACTTAACCTTGGGAAATTGCCACTCCATCCTCTTAGCACTTTCTAAGGAAGCCACATAATTTTATGGCTTGCTTCTCATAAAAAATACTTTATAACCCCTGTTACCCAGCTTGTGGAGCAAAGTCAATGTTTCAGCAAGTAAAGTTACTCTTTGGAGATTTCAAAAGCCACACAATTGTGGAGTCTTCAGTTTGTTAGAATGAGCTGTGTAGTTAACAAAACTGGAAATAAAACAGTATCTCTTCTAGAAAAAAAAAATCACAAACATTCAATTACAACCAATTATCTTAGCTATCAGTAAAAGTCAGTGAAATCCTCAGCTAGTATGCTTGAATAGCCAAGTATCTTTGTTATAGTGATCAGTACATGAGATTAGCAAGAAGAAACACAGCAATCACCTGCAATACTTAAAGCATGACCAGCTTAGTATCCTAGATCAAAAAAAACACATTTATTGATACAGAGCCAAGTAATGGATTAAATGAAAATGTATCCCATTCGTCTAATTGAATATTTGGGACTTAATGCTTTTTCATACAGTATCAGAAAACTTGCAGCTGACAATAAGAGCTACTCCTATCTGGCCTTTCTGAAATATTTTAGACTTTGAAAAGAAAAAAATAATAAGGCTATGAGTAATATTGTATATATGTATGCATCTCTATGTCTTCAGATCCAATGACATCTATATGTAACGCCTAAATTCATTAATCCTTTTGCCTTTTAGTAGGAAAAGATTTAAAAGGACTATTCTTGGCCAGAATACAGATAGATATTAGCACCGCTTTTGGAGTGCATCTGTGAAGGAGTCCCATATGTCTGTTCCACAAGAAAGCCAGAACTGCTACAGTAGCAACAGAAATATTCCCTTGAGAAAAGTGAATCAGAAATCACAGAAGAAAAATCAAATAATTTAATTTTATGCTAGCTGCTGATTTAAGCCAGCCATGCAAAGTATTTTTGTAGACATTCAATTAAATGTTCTTTTTTAATATGCAACTTTCTACAGGCTTGGAAGTGGGTTTTAAGTCCTATGGTGGTGTACATCTGTGAAAGAATTGTCCGATTTTGGAGATTTCCGCAGGAGGTGGTCATTACTAAGGTATGTAACACAAGTTCATGTCTGTGTAAAAAGAAGAATTATGCCAATGACTTTTTTTAGCTTTTACAGGTATCTTCTCCATCTTATGACCTCACTTTTCACTCCTAGCTTCAGCAGCTCTTCCATCATTACCGTGGTTTCAGCCAAGTATCAATATTAGGTTTTGCGTTTATTCCAACAGTGAGTCTATAAGAATATTCCATATGGGTCCAAACTTGATTAGTGAAGTACCAGGCTTTACACCACCATAACACAAACATCTGCACAGAGGTTCTCTCTTTTTAATGAACTGAAACGATGTTCCACTCCAGTAAATGCCAGAGATGCCCTTGCCTTCAGTAGGACACAGTTTTTACTTTCAAATCTGGAGGCTTCCAAGGAGATTAAGGGGCATATTATCATCATAAATAATCGAAGCTTCATTAATACCAACGTAACAATTTATCCCAGTTGAAAATATCTCTGTGTGCTAAAGGCCTATTTAAGTCACAGCAAAATGGATGGAGAATGCTGCAATTGAAGTAGCCGAGTCCATGTGTATCAAGACAGCAATCAGGAACAGGCTTATTTTTTTGTGAGGGGAAAAGTATGTTGGATAAGTCTTGCTGCTGATTTCACAGAGTGGCTGTCATCTGAGAACCTCAGTATATATGACATATAAAACTGGCTGCTTAACTGAGATTACCTCTTAATAAAAGTATGATAGAATTGAGCTCATAGGGCTTTTTTTCTTCTTGCCAAACCAACAATAATCCTATATATGTTAATAGTGCTACATGACAGTAAGAGCGGGAAATTATTCCAGTCTATTAAGGAATAGGCTCAACTAAAACAGAAAGTTCACAAATTGTTGAATTATTACAGCCTTTCTTCCTCCTCTTACACTCACAAAGCAAGCTGACCCACGATACAGAGTGTATGTGCTCTCTAGCTACTGGGCAATACCAGCATTGCAACATGCAGTTTAGGATATAATCTACAAGACATTTAAAAATTACTGTGCATACCAATTTGCACAACTCATGGTTGAACTAAAGTAGGAATGATTCCAGTCACCTGTAAACTAATGAAAACAAACAGTTACTCTTCTGAAGGAAAATAAAACAGGTCCATTTATTATTGTTTAGGTGGTGATGTATTCCTCTGGAGTCCTTGAGCTTCACATGAAGAAATGTGGCTTTAAAATGGGACCTGGTCAATATATCTTTCTACAGTGCCCATCTGTCTCATGGCTGGAGTGGCACCCTTTCACCCTCACCTCAGCTCCTGAGGAGGACTTCTTCAGTGTTCACATACGGGTTGTTGGGGATTGGACTGCAGCCCTCTTCCAGGCCTTTGGAGCACAGGAAAAAGCTTTCAAGGAATTGTGGATGTTACCAAGGTTTGAATGACAGACGACACATTTTAAAATGTTAATTCTACATTTTAAAATAAATGTTAGCCTTTTAAATTTAATTAATCTTGTGTGTGTTCTTTATGATAAGTATTAGATCGTAGTTCTGGATCCAAAATACGCCATTATTGCTAAAAAGAACACAAATAAACAAAGTCATGAACTTAAGCCACAGCTAACAAGAAGATGTGATGACTAATCCAAGATTTAAAGTCCGTATCAATATCTATATTGCTGTCTCTATCATTTAAATCTCTAACATCTATATCCACACCTAAAAATATCCATCTTGACAGATTAAGAGCTGAATTAGAAAAACACTGGAAGCTATCTGCTCTGTGCCTCTACGTTTATGCTCTGATGGCACCCATCTCCTGCCATCCAAAATTCCAGGTTTTCCCTTTCAGTTACTTAGACATTTTGTGGCCCCAAAAACTTCTGTCTGAACCTTACTTCTTTCCAACAATGTCCCTTAGCTCTGTCTCTAGTTTCCAAATCCTGCTCCACTTTATAAAGGTTACTGGTGTTCAAATTCTGTATCTGTGGCAACTTAATCCAAGCAAAATGTTGATGCTTTGTTGTTGCAAGTCAGCAGGGCTCTTCTGAAGTCAATGGAGCCACCCTGACCTACACCAGCTAAGCATCTGGCTCTATATATAATGGATTCAAACCATGTAGCTCCTTGCAGTCATAGTGGCATTTTTCAGCAAAGAAAGGTCTGGCACAGGATCATTTCAATTCTGGTGGAATGTGTAGGGCCTGAGACCAAAGGGCCTATTTTCCCCCTGGAAAATTGCTTTTCATGATGGAGTTCTTGTTTAACTGGAGCACTTGTTTAACTGGATTTATATAATTTAATGGGACTTGGATGTTAGAGAACATTCCCCCAGAAAGCTTATAGATACCACTGATCTGCAGAGGCATTCTAGAAGGTAGGGGCAGAGAAGAAAGTCTGTTTCAGTCCTTGCATTGTATCAGTTAATAAAAATTATAAATGAAAGCCATAACTTTGTTAAAGGCAACTGGAATGAGAAGTATACCATTTCAGCAGAACTAGAGCAAAAATAGTCCAAGGTGATTGACAGCCAGTGTAGAGAGTAAGAAAGAAAAAACTGTTATCAAATATTGCTGACCACAATGCAGAGCTGAAATTAAGAGTGGTGTCAAATATAAAGACTCTTCTTTTTAATCTTGTTAAGGTGACTAATGCCATCATTCGGTTGCTTTCTTGCAATATATTAAAAAGAATATTTCAATAGTTAAACTAGCAATAAAGCAAAAAAATCAAGTCTTTTTCAAAGGTTTCAATGTTTAAAGATAAACACCAAATTGGTGACTATATTAAAAAATAACAGCAGAAACTGAGCAGAGGATGGAAGACCTGTAGCAACTGAATGATAAGGTAAGGTTCTAAAAATAAAATCTTTATATTGTAAGTAATAAAAGAAGACTAAAATAAAACGTACACACATGTATATAGGTAGCAAAGAGAGTTAGTTGTGATTTATGGCCAGTTTGAGAGATAAGACCATAGAAAAAACTATTGCTGTGAAAATAATCAAGTTCCATATTATGCCTCTTTGGGATTTTGGCTCACTTAATTGCTGTTTAAGCACATTGTCCAAAAATCTAGCTTCTCTTACAGTCAGGAGTACTGCACAATCATGATGACGAGCAAATGTTTAAATTCCAAAAATAAAACAAGAATCCATTACTGTTACTTTTCCAAAACTAAATACTTCCCCTGCCTTCCCCAAAAGTATAAAGCTTCTTTATAATAAAATTATGTAGATGGACACAAAGAATATGGACAATCCAGCCCATAGTTAGAACTAGTCTATAGCCCTATTTTCTACTCCTCCCTTGGCGAATGCAAATGTAGCATTTGTTTTCATTTTGTTTCCTATCTTCCTACCTTCCTCCACCCTCTCTAGATCAAATGAATGGGTTGTATAGCTCAGTTTATCTTTCTCTGCTTTCTCCTTCCTACTTCTCTGAGCCATTGTATTTGAGCTGAGCAATGTGTTCAAACCAGTAACAAGATCTCTGTCACCTGAGGAGTTAAAATGGACTGATGAGACAAATGTCTGTAAGGAATGATTCAGAAATAATTGATCCTGTCTTGTATCAGGGAGACAGATTAAAGAACCTCTTAAAATTCCTTCCTAATCAATTTTTTTTCTCAGTCTACTAATAATAATGAGAATTGCTTCCAAGCCCACATCAACATCACAGAAAGTTCACCTAAAAGCAGTTCTTAGGCACTTCACATATATACCCTAAATTAATCATATTTTACAGTGTTAAAAGTGCTTATAAAGTATAGGGCTGGGCAATAATCTGAATAACAATATGTATTTTTTAAAAGTATTATTTTGTTTATATCAGAGGCCAGATTTCCAGAAGTTATCCCTGAGTAGCTGTTTCATTTGATACAGCACTTGCAGAGCATTTGGAATCTTGAAATAAAAGTGACTAGTACAAATGAAGGGAAAAATATTTCCTAGGACTTCGCTACACATTAAGAAAGCAACGATATGGTTTCAGATACATTGTGTCTCCATATTATGTGTACCAATTGCTTGGTTATCCCTCTTTCTTTTCCTGTTAAAGAATTTCGTTCTTCATATATATTTAAGATAAATTTTTAAGATGATTAATGCAATAAAGTGCACAAAACAATACAAAATCTGAAAGAAGGAAAATAATTTTTCCGAAGGACTGGGTGTTAGAGAAACCACTTTCCAGAGCACTTGCGTTGTTTAAAGACAGGCTGGACAATGCTCTCCAAAGTGCTGCATGTATTTACATTCATGTTGCTAGTGGAATGAATCTGATTATTTAATAATCTTTTTCATTTCTAATTCTGACCAAAAAGAGTGCCTCAGCATCAGCAACATTGATTATAGGAGGTAGTAACATAAACAAGCATTTCTACTTACATGTTGCCTTTCTGTCAGATATTAAATACAGTTTTATCGCAAAAAATGTATTTCTAAAATATTGGGTTTTTTTCAGAAAGAACTGAGAAAACAGTAGTTTCTTTGCATATGATAACCTCTTTCTTGCTTTCTATTACTTTAACACATATAAAGAACTTTTCAAAATTATTAATGTAATCTATGCTTCTTTACTTTGATATATACATACAGAAAATAAAGCTCTAAACCAGGATGCTTTTCAGTAATTTGTAATTAAATATGCAAATTCCAAAGCTAAATTTGGACATGCAATTATATGACTAATCACATTTCAGAAAGCCAGAAAATTGCAATTGCATGCTTAAATAGATGGCCAGGCCCCAAATCCACATGAGTCCTCTTGTTCTCTTACTTCAGAACAAACAGTTGCTTTACTATTAAATGGCACCTACTGAAAATTAAATGTGTTTCTATGTGTAATTTGTGTGCCAGCATAGACATGTCTTTTCTCTTGTATCTTAACAGAATTTCAGTTTTGAAAACATGTAGCCTGACAAATGGTAACCTTTCTGTCATTTCACATGTTGCTGACCCTTAAACTAAATGTCTTGTTGCTGTAGACTGGCTGGGGGTGGGCCATATGGGTTAGCAAACACACACGACTTCCCCTTTTTTTTTAGGAATTGGAGTCACACCATTTGCCTCTATTTTAAAATCCATTTGGTACAAATGCTGCAACCCTAACACAGAACTGGCGCTGCAGAAGGTACGTAGGGAAGTTTATCACTCCATCAAAAAGTTCCACAAACGAGCCTATTTCACCAGATGAGAGAAGCTATTCAGAGCTAGAGACTCACTTGAGTGCTTTAACTTGCTTTCAGAAGCAGTCACTCATTTTCCAGCTGTGTCAGGAGCTGTCATTGGGTGGGGTCTCCCAAATTCATTCTCATTCTCTGAGGAAGAAGGTAGCCCTAGCTGCAGTGTTTTTAGTAAAAGCTGAAAAATTCAATTTTCAATAGCAACTGGAGATAAACGTGGAACATCTTTCATAGCTACACAGATAGTTGGAGAGCTTGAATAGAAATTTGACCTCTTTCCTACCTTAAATTAAATCCTGCAAGGTCACCTCAAACAGAAGTGAAAGGCAGCATTTGCTCCTTATCCAGCTCTAGGTTTCATGAGGGCCCTTTGGCTGTGACCTCGTCCAGAATGCTGCATTCAGTGACCATTATCTGCTTTTCACACCTTGCAAAGTCAGGATATTAGCCAGCATAGAAGGAATGAAGAAAGGCTCTGGATGAGATACATATATCAAGATGCATATTACTGCTTCAAACCACTTTTAATTACTCTGTTGAAGAAAAATATTGGGTCTGTGAGGCATGGATGACACCAATTAAGTTAACATACTTTCGATCTGCTTACCTGTTATACATCTGCTAAGGATACGTGAGACAGCACTGGGGAAGGATAGACAAAGAAGAGATAATATGGGTAAAGTAGGGTGAGAGATAAAAAGTAACAGAAAAGAAAAGGAGCATTGAAGATTTTGTTCCCTACCCATCATGATAAGTGGTAGCTTGTGGACCTTAGAGCTTCTTTTAGCTCATTTTCCAATGTAGAAGCTGAATCAGGAACTGTTCCTCATTTCATATTTCAGGACAAATGTTGAAATTGCACTGGAGTGGACAGATCTCTGAGAGGGTCAGTACATATGGAGCTGATTGCAGGACCCATGGGCTGATCTTTTTAAATGAAAGAGTGCTAAAACTGGCATCTTAATGACAAGCTGCCACTGAAAAAGCATCTGGGATTTTAGAAACTGAGGAGTTGAGGACAGGTTCAAATTGCCAGGGGGGATCTTTGAGGCAGAAAAAGCAGTGAGAAGGGAGGGAAATGAAAATGAAAATATGTGCTAGATGTGAAAAGAAGTGTATTTACAAACACTACAATTGTACCAGAATGATCTTTTCCAGGAGAGCTAAATATACTTATATGCATGTTAGATATGTGTATCATGTATATTCTATATGTATACAAGTAAAATTTTCTTATTGTCATTGCTGTTGTTAACTTAAGGGGAAAATAACAGAATTTAACTATGCATTGAGAGTATAATACACTTCAGGGTATTCATCCATAGCTTAGGGAGAATCTTGGGTAAGTGTGCCTGCAAAAATAAATGCATGGTGTATTCTGTCACATTTTTTCTGCTATAGAATTCAGTTTTTCTGAATTCTTGTGAAATTCAAAAGTATCATGATTTCTCCATGTCCTTTCTCTGTATCTTGGCTTCCTTACTGGTGCAGTGGGCATAGTGATGCTTATTATTCACAGGTGTTATAAGGCTAAACTTCATTGGTGCTTGTAAAATATTTTGAAAGCCCGAATGAAAAGTCCTGGGGAAGTTCACAGCATTACTTAAAAAATCTAGCAGTCATCTTAGTAAGAACGATTAATCTCAGGGTAGCTCCGTATTTTTTTTTCCATTGGTTGAAAGCTTCCACTTGTGGTATAATTACAAATAATTTAATCTCCCTCAAAGTATTCAGCACTCTCTTTCTGCCATGATGAGTACCATAGAAATGTCTATTAAGGAAATAAATAAGAGGTTTTTCTTTTTTTAACAGCTTCGTTTTGATTTGAGTACAGCTATCATTACACTTATTGAACTAATATTTCTTAGCATTGCCCACATACGGTTTAGATATAAATACTCATAGCTTCCATAATGTCTGCAGCTGTATAATTTAAAAAACCCAGCAAATCAGAAGGAATACACATTTATCTAATTGATTCTTCACAATTAAATAGCCTTAGAGTCTTAATTTCCCTGTCATTTTTTTGCAGTGAGGAAAGGCACTACTACTAGTCATGGCTGGAAAGTTTCTACCAGCTTTAGTTGTGAGTAAAATGATCTTTCTTTCACATTAGTAGTCTCATTTTTCAGATCAATTGCTGCTGAAATTGATGAAATCATACTGATCCATCAGACACCAATATTAGCAAACACTCACTTTCTCTTTTACCCTATATAAGGATGTAAGAAATGTCCTACTGAGTATCACCAAAGATCCATCTAGCCTAATATCCCGTCTCCAACAGTGGTTCTTCATGAATCACCTAGGGAAAAGTATACAGACCAGAAAATCATACGGTGGTAAGTCTTTAGTAGACACTTTCTTGCCTTTGAGCAACTTCCAGTTCAGTAAGGTCTTGATGCAAGAGCTGCAGCTCTGTGTTTAATATCCCTTAGCAGTTTTTTCTTGCATGAATTTGTATTATTAGTGCCTGAATTCATGCAAACATTAGACAATCAGAGCATGCTGTGGTACTAAGTTCAGTTACAGACTGTGAGGAAAACAAAACTAGCCTTTTCCATTTGCTTCGAAACCAACTGTCCTTTCCTGAGGTAACCTTACGCTTCAAGCTCTACCCCAGTTCACAGCCTTCTCCACAAAACACCTTCTCCCAAAGACCTAAAAACCTGGACTCTTTTTGCTGTCAACCAACCATCTTTCAGAGCTGCGTTTGAGAACAGTTTAGGACTCTTACTTCAAATTTAGAGATATGAATTCAGGCCTTGTCCTGCATTTACACGAACAACTGCCACCCTAGCTCTAAGTCAGTGCCTCATGTAGCTGCCTAAACCCCCATCCTCTCCTGCGTGCTCCAGGCTGCAGGCACTGTTGCACCTTACTGGTAGTAGCCCACTCGATCAATTGATTAGGCTGAGGAAGATGTCAGATCCGCTTTTGGTATGCTACAGCCCACAGGTGGTGCGGTATACTCAGGAGCATAGGGTTTCCAGGTGCAAAGTGTAAGAGGGTTTTGCAGGGACTAGTCCTATCTAAGAGGGAGCAACAAGAGTCAGGGATGAAGGTGCCTTCCTGGGCATCCGCTGCTTCATCACCTCTTACAACCCTTTGATGAAAAGCTGGCTTTGCCCAGAGCTGCTGCTCCACCTCTGTCTTCAGGGAGAAACAGATGGATGGTCATCAACAGATAATTATTAATGACTTTACACATGATGGAAGCTGATTTACAAAGTACGTTTTTTCACCTTACAGGAAGGAGGTATCAGAGCTCTTGCTCTAATCTGTTGTACGACACTCAGGATGTGGGAAACTGAATGATAAATATGCATGCATTGTAAGGGAGCAGAGTATTAAAGAAATAAGCAACTACTCAAAACCCTGCATTACAGATCTGATTAATAGCAATACTGCATCTAACTCAATTTGCAAAAAGAGCACTTGGAAAATTTAAGACAGTTTACTTGGGCAAGCCATCAAGCTGATGAATGTAGTCAGTGGGGGTAGGGTGGATGGAGACTAATGAAAAATAAATCTAAAACAGATTTTAAGGGTCCTAAATAATTGCAGTCAAAAAAAAAAAGATTCAGAATAATTGTTTAATTATAGAAATGCACTGATGCTGGCCTTATTCTACAGTTTTAATAAGGATTAATTTTATTGTGCATTTATTGTATTTTAATTATGTGTGTAATATGTTATGCTATTCTATGGGCAGTCAGTGTAAAGAAAGGAAGACTTCTTTGTAAACACCATTTATTTTAACATATTATACTAGAAGTCCTCTTTGATCTAAGGGGAACAGGAACCTTTTGCCCATAGGCCATCCTTCTTTACTACCTCTTTTCTGTCTAAGGTTATAATCATGGTCCAAAATGCTTCTTACAGTGACAGTCTTTCTTTGTTACCATATGCTCCCCACCTCTAACGTGAAAATTAGAAGCAGTGCAATGGGTACTGCTTCAGTAGACCCATGCCAGGGATGAGTTTAAGGACTTACTGCAGCTTCAGAAAGCTACATCTTTTATTGAGAGGACTGTGAGAGAGGTGGCTTGACCCGATTCAGTTGGACTGGCTGTTACTGTAACAGCTGGGTTTGCAACCAGCTAAAAGCACTCCTTCAAGCTCCATAGCCTGATATGCTGGAAACCAGTCCCCTATTTAGGGGAAGACCATATCATCTCAACTCATCAGCTAGCTTTTCTTCCTCCTTCCTTGAATGTGCTTGGCTCCCAGTCCTGCCCACATGCTCCCAGTTGCTACCCCATGCACAATTCATTATTCATTTAGAAGCACTCCACACACATGTACTAAATATACATTTCCATAAAATGAACTGCTGAAAAGACTTGAGAAATAAGATGATCAAGTAAAGGCTGGGGGAAGAAATTTCTCACTACAAATCAACAGCCGTGGTGTGATACAGACTGACAGCACTTAGTGGGCTGATTTTTGAGGTGCTGAGGATGTGGAACAAGCAGGAAATTCAGGATTCAGACACAAAAAACTACATAAAGGTTAAGGCTATAAATCTTATCTAGTTTTTGTAATTTAAAATAATGCTATTGTTGGTCACAGAAATGAAATGCTATAAAGTCAGTGGGCTTGCTTTTTCCTCATTACCTACGCCAGTGTAAATCAGCAACAACACCCCCGTAAAGCAATAAGGTCATATTTAAGGCAAAACACTGAAACAGAAGGGAAAAAGCAAACAGCCAAGATGGTTGGTACTAAAGTTCTGCAGACAGTCCTATTCCTGGGCTGTAAAAATACACTACTTAACCCTGAATACTTTATCTCTGTTTCCTGGGATCATACTTCATTTATATTTCTCACAGAAACCACAGATGGTCCCTTACAGTACACTCAGATCTAGGAAACATCTCAAATTACTGTTAGTCTCTGTCACCAAATCTCTGGTGAAGCATGGTGTTACCACATTTTTCTCTCACCACCTTACCAGAAGTCTGACAAGCTAGTATATTAAATCTTCGGGAAATCTCTTTATAGCTCTCTGGTTTCTTCTCTGATTTTTCACTTCAGAACACTCTAATATGCATCTTTATCTCATTGATCCTACAGAAAAGGGCTACAATTTCCAAAACATCAGAGCTCCCACAGTGATTGCCTTGGGGACTGATCTTTCAGGTTACCTTTGACATTGAGGTATAATAAAAGACAGAAGGGCTTGTGAGCACAAAGAGAGATGGGTTGGAGGAAATTAAGGGATTTTGCAACAAAATAAAAATCACAGTTCCAATAAAAAAAGTTCCAACTACCCTTTTGTTATAAGCTTACACATTGTCCTCTGTGCCATTCCTTTTTAATCTGAAATTGTGTATTTTCAGGTTTCCTCTGTGTTTGTGAAATATTTCTTTGGAGGCACTATAAAAATAATTGCACTCAAAATTACATTTTTCACAGAGGCCCATTCAAGGTCTGGTGCCCTCTATTAAAAAGTAATGATTGATTGCGTGGCGAGAGCTACAGAATTCAAGTTCTAAAAATGGCAGTCAAATTTGCCTTGTAATTGTGGTTCAGCCGGGCATCAGTGGTGCCTGGACAGACACCCAGGGAACTTCAGACATTCATCTTCTGGGTGATGAAGGAAGTCCCAGTCCAGTCATCTGCCCAGCTGGACCTCTCTGAGTCAAAGGATGGAGCTGAAATCAGGGGATGGGCTGTGCTCCCACTCCCCTCTGCAGCACAGCATTGCTGGAGGAGATTTCCAGGTGGGAAATTTTGACTGTCTGAAGACTCCCTGAGGTAGCTCCTGCTCAGCCTGGGACAGCCTATGTCTCAGTGTGTTTCAGATCCTGAGCAGGGAATCTCACCAGTCCCAAGACTCCACAGTTTCTGCTGCAAAACTGATGAACTTGTTCACAGATAAGACATTTGCAAATGGTCAGCAAAATCTGTTCCTGCAGGAGTGGTCACACAGGACAGTCATTTATACATAGTTAATTAGTTAGAAGATGCTTTGTACGTAAAGGGCAATAGATCACACTATATCATGCACATGCTGGAGTGGTCACAGCAGTCCCTGGGCCAACTGGCTATAACAAATGAGCAGAAAAAGGGTTTGGAGGAGTCTCAAGTAATCCGGCTGAAGATGCCACATCAAGAACTCCTGAAATAGAAACTCTCATCATCATATGGACAGTGACTAACCATCTCATTTGAAATATTTTATTCCCTATGCAAGCATTACCCTATGCCAAGATCCTAATGAATTAGCTTCTTAAAGAGAAAAAAAAAAAGACAAACTCTTTACTTTGTTTCTAACTTATTTCAGTCAAGGAGGAATAATGAGAAACAAGCCACAGGAATGTTTTAAGGATGGAAAATTAGTCTCTCTGTGACAGATCCCGGGAATGTTTGGTTTATCATTGAAAGGATTATAGTATGACTTGATGCCAGTCTCTAATTCCTACGCAGGGAACAAAACCTTAATAACAGGCTCTCCAAACCAATAGACAACTATAACAAGATCCAGCATATGGAAGATGAAGCTTGAGAAAACTGGATGAGAAAAACTGTAAATTTTTCATAGAGAGGAGGTTTTCAACCAATAGAAAGGTAGTGGTTCAATTTACCACTCTGGCAACTTTAAAGTTAGAATTTTATGCTTCTCTAGAAATTATGTGCTCAAGTTTAAAGAAGAAATGCATTGAAAAAGAAGCAGGGACATTCTATACCCTGTTTTATATAGGGTATCTGACTTGAAGAACATAATTCTTTTCACCACTTCAACTGTTAACCTATGGCATAAGGTTTTGAGAAACTGAAATTCCATTTTAAACATAACCAAAAATAAATCCAAAATTTCAAAGAATAATGAAGTTATTTGCAAGAAATGCAGCATTAGGCATTGTAAGTCAAAGTTGAGTTGTCAGGGGGAGATGGGAAACGTACACTGCGTGTCTTCACTAGTGCATTAATATATTAACTCAATGTTTAAGATGAAAATGAAATTTTTAAAAGATAGAAACTACATCATCAAAATTATGTGTAATTATTTTTAAATTTTATAGTGAAGAGTTGCACACTAAGTGATTAATAAGTTGAGCCAATCATTAAGAATTCTGATTGGAAGTTTGCTTCTTGCTAAATCTATTTACTTTTATCTGACAGGTTTATTTTTACTGGATTTGTAGAGACCCATCAGCATTTGAGTGGTTTGCTGATCTGCTGTTCCATTTGGAATCAAAAATGGCTGAAAAAGGGAAAAATGATTTTCTAAGCTATCATATATTTCTTACTGGCTGGGATGAAAGTCAGGTAATAATGAAACACTTATGAGTCTGAGTTAATGTACCTTGCTTTTCCAGTATGGTAACATATGGAACAGGAACAGTTGAATAAATGATGGATGGAGCAGAGAACTGAAGGATTGTAAATATAAAGACACCAAGCTGTCTGTTTGCATCTTGCATTTAGGAAAACAGGAATGGAGAAATCAAGCCAGCCGTCTTTCCAGTCCTATATCTTGTCTTGGGGAGCACTGATTACCAGGTGTCTCACAGAAAAGTGCAGAGAGCCTTCCAGGAGTTTGTGAAAAGACACTTTGTCCACATCTTCGGAATGGTCTTTAAATAGATTCTGGCATTTTTGTACTGAAACATGGAGAGTTGTATAAACAGTGCTAGTTTTGTTTACTCTTTATTATTGACTATAATTTTGGTTGTTCACATATACAGCCAGTGCACTTTTGAAACCTGCTGTGCTCAGAACATTTTGGCAACAAGCTCTATGGTCTAATTAATGTTGTTTGAAAAGACATTTTCTTTGATTGACTTTAAATTTGTCATCTCATAATTTTATTGGATCATCCCAGCTCGAGGCACTTAATCTTTAGATAGGGTTGATTTTATTCAACTTCTTTAGTCTTTACCTAGACCCAAATGAGTTACTTTCTCTTTTCTTTAAATGGATCACTCAGATCACACTGTGATCAGTTCCAGGAAAACTCTCACAGGAAAGTCTTTTCTCTACTGTTTTATTTCCTGCTGCCTCTGTTGAATGAAGGACTGTCTAGCATAGATTAAAAAAATAGATTTCGTAGAGCTTTTTCCTTCCTGCCTCTGCTGACACAAAAAAAAAAAACAACATTGTTTCTGCTTTCCTTAGGGTTTCTGTCAAGTAATGAGGCACGTGCATAAAGCTGTATTCAGAAAAATCTACTCTCATTGTGAAGTATATGGCAGTTGTAGAAACTACCACTGTGCATTAGCAATATCACAGGGTATTACCTAAAACCGGCATTGAAAGAAACTATTGAGGAACCTAACAAAACTCAAAGTTGCCCTCATATCTCAACTGTCATCATCCCTCTTCTCTCTTGGGCAAACATCAGGCCAGAAATCAGGTAGGGAGACAACTATTCTTGCTGAAATGACTGACTCTTCACTTGTGTGCCCTGCACTTTTCTGAAGTGCCTCCTTCTCTTCAAACCCCATTTTCCAGTCTCCTGTCAGCACTGCCTCGTTATCCCATGCTGCTGGTTAGGTGATGTAGGAGGATCCCTGAAGCTGTACTGCCTCCTGAAGGCCCCCATCACCCTACCTCTAAAAGGTTGTGGAGGAAAAGGAATGTGTTTCAGTGGCCACTCCTCCTACTCTGACCAACCCCAGGGAACTGTGCTGGGTAACAGCTTCACCTTCTTCAGACATCCACAAAGCTCCATCTTCTTGTAAGTCTTACTTAACTTTAGTAAATTCCAGTTCATCACTCCTCAAAATTTGAGCTTCAGCATTAGTAATATTTGGATGATGCTTTGCTTTACTTCACTTGTGCCTTAGCAGATAAAACCAACATTCTCTCCCTCTCACCACATAGTCTTGACCAGTAATCAGGTGAAGCAGAACCCAGTTAGGATGGGCAATTTTTACCTTCTAGTGCACCCTCCACTACTGGCAGGTGTTTATTTCTGACATATAATATTTGTTCAATGCTTCAAGGTCTTTGCAGATTCTATGTTGGCAACAGATGGGCAAACAGTTATAGCACATGTTTGCCTCTGCTCGGACAAGAACTCATGTTTCAGCCTATCATTCCCTACATTGCCCCTGACATTTCTAGGCAACTTTAATGCTCTGAGTGGTAGCAAGGGCCAACACCAAAATTTCTGGAGAAGTTCCACTTAATGTGAAAAGAAATAGCCCTTCTGCTCAGTGGCACATTTTTACTGTAAACAATTAAAAAATGCTGCAGTTACCCATTTCCCACTCCCACCAAGCACTTCCAGTTCTTTCTTAAACTATTCCAAGTCAGTGGCCTGAACTAACAAGAACCTCTCAGAAATATGACCTTTTGTGACAACTGTGCTTGACCAGAATAACTGAGTTAGTAAGCAACATGGAAGACTCATTAGCACAAGAAATATACAATATTCCCAGGAAACTGATCTAAACTTCAGCAACCACTTCTGCAAGAGATTACAATGATGCCTAGTTCATGCTAGGGCCTGAACTAAATGCAAAGCCCATTTTTTAACTTAGCTTGCTGTGGCAATTTCTTGACAGTGATAGTAACGATGATAGTTTGTAGTGAAAACAAGTGTATTACTCCTACACAATCACAGTACAATTAGGAGAGATGGTGGTTTTGTTTTTAAATGCATCTGAGAAGTACTCAGATAGCATGGTAAAGCATAGGGGATGAGAGACAGTAAATGCTCATGAAAATCAGGATTTGTTTTCTTGGCACTGGGAGCTGTGCAGTTAACTTAGTTCAGTGCTTCACCTGAGATGATCCACTTTCTGCACCTGTCTCTGCCTAAGGAGAAGAGCCAAAACATTCAGGGATTTATCCCTGCTGAGCTGGTATATCCACTATCTTTTCCATCAGCAGCAAAATGCTCTGGACTTACCTAAAGTGCACATTATTGATAATACTAATTGTCAAACTCCACTATAGTACACTTTGCTCCGTTTCATATATTCCAACTCAGCCTTAAAATGGTGACTGTTACTTCAGGATCTGCAATGAAGGAAGTGCAGAGTGAGATACTTAAAGGCTGAGAAGAGGTTTGGGAACCTAAGACTTGCCTGTGAAAGTGATTGAGGCACTTAGGCCTGAGCCAATAAAGACAGGCGTTTAATCCCAACTCATCTCAAACATTCCATCTTAAGAAACTGAACTCCTTCAAGGTCTTCAGCACTTATGGAAGTGCTTTTCACAATTCTAGTAACTTTGTGAACTCTTCTGCTTTCCTCTCCTCTCTTTTCCTCTCTTTTCCTCATCTCTCCTCGCTTCTCCTCGCCTCTCCTCCCATTTGATAATTACAGTTTCCTTTCTCTCATTAATACTTCCATCTTTCACAGCTAAGCAGCATTACTGCTTTCTCCTGTTACTTGGAGTATATGTTTTTGACTCTAAAATTACTATCTTGTAAATTTGCCTTTAGGCTACTCACATAGCCCTACATTATGATGACAAGATGGATGTAATTACTGGGTTGAGACAGAAGACCTGCTATGGAAGGCCAAACTGGGACCATGAGTTCAAGCAACTAGCAGAAAACCATCCTAGGTAAGGCAGGTTGGCTTCTAAGCTTGTTTAGGTAACTCTTCTCTCAGCATAAACAGTGGGAGAAGGGGAGGGCAAACCTTTCTAAATGACCCTTTTAAAATAATTTCGTTTTTTGCTGTGTGGAAAGAAGATTTATGCTTAATGAAGCTTTTAATGAAGAAATCTCGGAAAGAGAATGCCAATAAAATCTAATTTTTGGACAAGAAAATCTAATATTTAGAAGTATTTCAATATCCTGGCCTTTGTCCAGATATAATTGAAACACACAATCCAATTACTGTTCTGCACAAAGGACAAAGTAGCATTAATTTCCCTTGAAGATGGTTATTAAAGAGATAAACTGTGATTTTTTTTTTCTTATGATGTCAAGGATATGTTTGTTCCCTAACATATTTGGCTACTCTTGCAAGACTATGCTGTTCTGTTATTAGTTCATCTCTGCTGGCAAAGACAGTTCATTTGAACTTGGTGGATTCATTACTGGTCTGAGAAAAGCTTCTTTGTTCCTGGAAGCCTTTGAAGCAAGAATTTGAAATATTTTGTGTTCAACGGTAGAAAATTCCAGAATCTTTTTGACTTTGTACGATTTCCAAACATTTACCTGCTAATACAAAATAAAGGCTTGCACTTGGGAGACAGAGATACAAAAAGAAAAAGAAGAAAACTTTTTTTTTAAAGATGAAAAAGACTCAAGAAAAAGCTGAAAGGGATGAGATCAAAGAGAATACAGTAAGCTACAAGAATACCATAAAATTGCAAAAGTAACAGTAATAGAGAAACCACTTGATGGAGGTCAGAATAAATACAATCAAGAAATATGAAAGATTAAAAATAGAAAAAGGCCAAAAGTAGAAAATACGATTTTTGGAAGAGCTTTTATAGGGATTCTACTGCATAAACATAAAGCTTAAACAGAGCTTTCAAAGTTATAGTTGAAATATTACTTTTTGTTGCTTTTGTTAAGTACAACTGATAAAAAACATGTTTTTCTGATGCTCAAAGTGGGAGATGAGCATTAACTTTGTAGACTGGATCTTGTGGTACTTCCTTAGAAAGCCAGTGCCAAAATGACAGAAAAAAATCTGCATTTGGTTCTGAACCTAGATGCTCTTGTTTGTGGTTGAACCTTTTAAAGAAAACCTTGCATGACATAAGGATTCCTTATGAGAAAATAAAATTCCTGACCTTTCCATGTTCTGAGCTACAGAAGGTTCAAGAGACAAAGAAACTCAAGAGTTTCTATTATGAGATGGAACAATCAGCTTTTATGAGCTGACTAGATTTCGGATGCCTGCACCTAGGTCCATGGAATTTCCCTTGGCTGCAACAGTATCTTTTAGTGGATTAGCAGGAATATACTACTCCAGGTTAAAACTAGTGCAATCGAGGAGCACAGCAACATGGGTTCTACTTACGGGGACTATGACTTGGGTGGAAAAATCATATCTACAGCCCCTCTTCACAGGAGCAAACTTTTTGAAACTCATGCTGTCACTTGTCACTTGTACTGCGTATACATAGATTGAGCTTTCCCCAGCAACACAGCATGTGTATCTGTGTGTACATATATATGTTTTAAAGCAATATGTGCTATGTACTTAGAAGCAAACCCCCTAAGGCATTTCGAAGCAAGTAACCAGGTTTCCAGCTCACTGTAACAGACTTGTGTGCTTATGAACACAATTGTTTGTTACACGGGTCATGTCCTTACAAGAACTACATATTTACAAATTTTGTTATTAAATCAGACATTTAAAAATTGCCCATAGGCAGAAACATGTTAAAATGAGAAGGGGGAAAAAAAAAAAAGTAGAAAACTCAGAAGTAACTGAGAAATTTGGGTATATTTTTATTAAAAAAAAAAAAAAGAAGAAAAATTAACTCAGCTGGACGAAAAGCATTGAAATTTTTCAGCCCAAGTAGGTTTGCTTCTCTGATTAAAAAAGCTATGAAAATCAAACCCAAACAACTACCATTTAAACTAGTTTGTGACCTCTAACATAGCAATCCAAATAAATAATGCAGTAAGACATAATAAACACTAATGTATCAAAATAATTTTACTGTAATACTTTGTGATAGTAACACAAATTTTTTCAAATTTATTTTTCAAAAAGTCATTTCAAAAGATGCAAAGCCAGAGGCAGCCAAAAGGTATAGTTTATGCATTTACTCTGCTACTTTCATTTTTTTGTTGTTATTGCGATTACAGCAACAGTATTGGAGTATTCTTCTGTGGACCCAAGAATCTCTCTAAGATCCTTCGAAAGACATGCAACTCGTATTCATCAGTTGATCCAAGAGGAGTTCATTTTCACTATAACAAAGAAAGCTTCTAGGCTGTACTTCTTAACTATACAATAGGTAGTACAAAATTCCGTATTTTTATCTCACCTTCTCCTGTTCTCTACTTAATCTGCATAATTCAAGCCAGATATTAGGAACTGTAAATTGAAGTAGGTGCATTAACTTCAGTAGAAAAATGCCATCCTAAGCCCATGAAAGATTTGGACCCCATCCTTAGCCTTTCCTTCAAAGAACTGAAGGGCTGATTCTCCTTTCTTACTTAATGATGCGTGAATCCATCTACATCTGTGTGAAAACAAGCACAAACCACTAACTTTTGAAGCAAAACGCATGAGTAAAATGGACATTTAGAACTGTTCCTCACTGTTGTGTATGATCAAACTACTACTGCAGGCAATACTCACATTCCCGCTGTTTAAATCATGCCCAGGCATTCAAAGCTTTTTCCTTCCTGTTGTTCTGATTTTGCACTGCTTATAGCCTCCCACTGCACACACACCATATCCACACCACTTTTTGCTGTTTGCAATACTGTTTATATACATAGTCTAACAAATTCCTTTTCCCTACCAAACCATGCACCATTTAAACCTGCCATTTCCACAGGTGGCTGTGCATGCCATAAGCCAGTATGTTCTGAGAGTTAATATGTTTAAGGAGACTCCAGAAATTTTTGCACTCAACAAATGTATGTCCTGAGACAGACAACCAAAACTATGGAAAAAGGTTCCAGGTGTCTCTTAAATGTCACATGCTTCACTGAAGAATGGGCTTTAAAAGATACGGAATCACAGATACATGACAGAGTGACTGAGGGAAGGCCCCATAGAGATCATCTGCTCTAAACCCCTTGCTCAGAGCTGATTCTTTGAAGACAGTAGCAACATTTGCATTCTTCCAGTTATCAGGACCTCATCCCATTGCCATGACCATTCAAAGATAATGAAGAATGGCCAGCTCCCTCAGCACTTGTGGGTGCACCCCATCAGTTCCTATGGGCTTGTTTAAAAGCTTCCTAGCCTTATCCTCCTTCACTAAGTCTGAATGGCTTCAGATTTTCCCACTTGTCTGAGAAGCCTGGGATCTCTGAAGGTCAGCCTTACCTTCACCATGGCCCTTGGCACCAGGTCCCCCATCCCATTCAGAAGTGGACCAACATTTTCCTAGTCTTCCTTTTGCTATTCATGCATACATACAGCCCTTCATCGCTCAGATTCAACTGCCAATGGGCTTTGGCTTCCCTAACCCCACTCCTCCACACTCAGTGTCTCTATATTCCTCCTGCATTACCAGTCCCTTCTTCCACCTCTTCTACACCTCCTTTTGTACTTGAGTTTTTTCAGGAGGCATTTGTTCATCCATGCAGGAGTCCTATCGCCTTTGCTTGACTTACTCCACTCAAAAGGAATCATTTTTGAACTTGGAAGAGGCAATTCTTGAAAATCATCCAGTTCTCCTAGACTCCTCTTCTCTCTACGGCCATATTACATGGGATCCTTCCAAGCGTGAAATTTAGCCTGTGTCCTCTCCATGCCATGTGTGTTAGTGTACAGGCACTTCAGATGATAGGCGTCCACTGATGTGGGTTTTCCAGAAGAGGTGTTAGAGCTGTCCTGTAGGCACTTGCTTGTTGTCTTTCACCTTCCACCTTCAAGTAGTACTTGTACTTAGCTTTGTGACTTTAGCACTGTTAAGCACATGGAGCACAGGATAATTCTGGAATGAGGGAGAAGCAAAATATAAAATATGGGAATGTTGTAACACCCACATAAGATAGAAGAGTGAGAAACATATTTCCCTATTCTCCAGCGCAGAAAATTAAAGAAAAACTATATTCAGGGTGGACTGAGGTGTTAACGAGCATCATATAATACATTTACCCAGCCACACAATAAAACCAGAAGGTAGAAAACATCCTGTGTATGTCAAGACTCAAGTAAGACAAATGACAACATTATATATGTATACTTATACACACACACACAAAATGCGCACTAGAGGCGAGGTAACTGCATAGACAACAGAAACAGAATAATAAAATTTATGTCACAGGAGCCTCCAATATTATTTTATACCTCTTCTATTAGAGGATAAAGTATGTGTGAACAGAGATTGCTGTACAAGGTACGGCTGTATCATTATTAAGTTTAGGGCAATGCATCTTTGTTTTAAAATTGTTGAAGTTTTTTAAATGCCTGCCTATGTGAAATGATTAATGCGGTGCATACTGTGTAGCAGTAGAGTGAGTGGAGAATTAGAGCCTCTGCCAGTTCACCTAGAGGCATTTATCTTTTATTTTTTCCCCTGGTGCCCGTGCTGAGCCTCAGGGTAAGCTGACACATTTTTTAATATAAATTAAGCTTCTTCTTTTTATGTGTGTTGAAAATCTTGAAGGAAATGAGAAATGTGTGTAGGCACCAATACCAGCTGCCATTGCATGAAAGAAAGAGGTGACAATTTCCTGCAGATTCTGAATGATTGTTTTAATGGGGTTGGATCGGAGGTAACAAGCACAAAGATATTGTGCTGCCAGAAAAACAGGATCTGTTCTCCCCCTAGCCTCATGCAACAAGATGTAACATTTAGCTTCTGGCTCAACATGGCATCTCTTCACTGCTTTGATTTATTCCCACTTTTGCAAATCACTATGGTATGCTACAGGAGATGCATTTAGAGCCCTTGTTATAGTTCATTGAGTAGCACTGCTGTTACCACCACCAGAGGAGAATTTCACTTGTATCAGGACTGACTGACCTAGAATAAAGGAAAAATAATAATAATAATAAAAAAAAAGAAGTGGGGAGGTTTGTTGGACTAGGATGAAACTGCATTTAGGTTGAATGAAAATCCCTTTATTACAAATGCAATTTAAATCAAAATGGGAACTAGGAAGATTTGGCTTCCTGCCTTGTTTTGAATAACACTGAGCACACAGTAGCTATGATAATGTGAGTGCATATGTAATGACTCTATTATTATGTTTATATATGGAAACATCATTCACTGTCAGGGAAAATGAAAGATATCTTTATGGATTTGTCCATTCAGCTTCTTCACAGGGAAGTGTTCCTATGTAGGAAAATATTATTAAATAAAATATAGTCATAACAGCACAGACTCACCACATCCTGTGACAGAAAACTAATCGTAGACAAGGATCATAAATATACAGATTAATTACTTTGGCTCTTACAATAAAAAGAGTGGTGTTATAATGATTGAAGTTGTGTTATGATAATTTAAGCTTATTCACTAGTAAGTATAAATTGAAATACATGGGTTTGTATGTTCTGGGTTCCCCCCCTTCCCCTCTCCTCCCACATTTTGCATGTAGTAGAAATTATTTAAATAAGTTTGCTCTTTAGTTTACACTGAAAGATTAAACAGAAACTGTCACCCTTAACAGAAGGTCCATCATACGGTGCCTCTACCACATCATCACCATTATAAGGACACTCCTGCTTCTTTCCTGCTTTTAGATATAATGAAATGGTTAAGAGGAAATACTGTTAATGGCAAAAAAGTGACAAATTTTTCACAGGTTTGTTCTCCTGATTTGCAGGAGATTTTATAAGAACTGCTTTGAAAATAGCTCAGATGCCCTGGAGAAATAATAAACTAAATGACGTTGTAGGTTTATAATCAAAATTCATCAGCAATTTCAGAGATTTTTTTCTTTTATTATTTTTTTTTTTAAATTTTTATTTTTGAGGGAAATTAACTGAATTTCCTCAGGAACAGAAAAAATTAAAAGAAAAATGTGACAGTGCTTCTACCCAGCTTGCCCTCTGAATACCAAAAGCTTAAATGAAACATGCATAGTCAGTCAACTAAAAAAGAATGCAAATCCGTATGCAGCGGAGGCAAATTGTCCCTAGGCCATCAGCTCTTCTGACACTTCTTTAGACCATCAAATACCAGGTGCGAAGTCATCTTGGTCACCACATGTAAGGTGGAGGGCACTCTACTAAGGACTGGTTGGCCTGAACCTTCCTAGTGCTGAAAACTGCCTGAGCTGAGGCTTTCTCACCAAAGTCAGGTTATCTATTCTGCAACAGCAACTCTAACTCCTCCAAGCACTCAATTGTTTGAGAAACTGTGCATTTCTGTGGAATAAAACTGGGCTTCCAATTTATTTAAACTAAAGCTGCAGCCACAAAAATTTTCCAGGAATTTCTACTTACATGTTACTGATCATGTTCAGTGAGAATGGACTGATGATCTGCATTTTAAAACTCTAACCAGTTAAGACTATCTAACAGGAGTCTTCTTGACCTTCAACAAATTATATCTTACAGTGAAAAAATCTCAATTACACAATGGTCTTAATATATGTGAAAAAATGTGTTAGTTGACATGGAAACACACTTTTTCTCCTTTCAAAAGCAAGAAAGGACAAAAAGGCTTAAACGCTTTAAAAGATATGTTAATATCCTTCCAGAATACATAGAAACAAACAAAAGTTGTATAGTATAGTGAACCACTCAAACCTGGGTATTTCAAAGGTTATCTGCTTAAAATATTTGCAACTATTATTACTAAACAATAATGACTTCTATCATGGTAAGACATTTGTATTCATTGAGGATAAAAGTCCAGAGCCTGCCAATAGTTACACGTGTGCTTTACTAACTTCAAACAATCTTTTGACTGTCCTAGAGGACTAAATATGTTTTCCTTTGAAGCTCATGCACAGAAGACTGATGTCAGGCTCAAGGTTGGGTCCTGAAGGCTGATCTGTATTATTCAGCTATTAAACTATTGGACTGTCTTGATTCTTGTCTAAAGACCATTTCTCTGGTACAGTAATTCTGAATATGAAAGACAATTTACAGTCATGCTTGCCTTAAGGTACACAGATAAGATTGCACTTACTTTAATAAAAGTCTGATTTTCACTGGTCTTACATATTCTATTAAGCAAAAAACTGTGGGTTTGGGGAAAACTTTTCTCTTTTCTTGTTTTGGTCAAATGACAAATACACAGATCTGAATATTTTATTCTGTGAATATAGCAAATCAGCAGGAGAGAG